TATTGGACAGGGCTGCTCTAGGTAACATATAAGTAACCACCATAAAAGGGTAACCATTTAAGTTTTGAAAAATGTTTGCAAATATAAAATGTAATGATTTTTTATTTTTTTTGGTTGTGGTCCAAAGGAGTATTTCAGATACCAAAAAATTTAATTCAAATTTGAAATCTACATATACTATTCCAAGTTTAACCTTGCCTACTATATAACTGCTTTTCTTTTTAATCATTTATATATATATATATATATATATACACATATGTGTATGTATGTATGTATGGCACATAATCTTTTGTTTTGATTATGTTTATGTAGTAGATTTAAGTTTCTGTGTTAGTTCTATAGCCAGTAGTTTGTAAAGTTATTTGTGAGACAGAATGGGGAAACCAAGGCTGTCTTACAAGAGTAAGTCTAAACAACTCTCGCCAAAACCCTTTCACTCTTTATAAAAAGATTTTTGTAACACAAGATTTTTTTAAACTACCTCCTTTGAAAAGCATATAAAAATATCTAAGATGTATAAAGATGTATGATGAAATATTATAATTTTGTTAAGTTAAAGGCAGTTACTTTGGCAAATTAGAGAAGTCTTAAACATAATTTTTTTGTTAAAGAATGCAGGGTCTAAAGCATGCCCCAAATAAGTCTTTTATAAAGTTATGTGGTATTTCATGAAAATACTCAAAAAGTTAAAATTTTCTAAAAGTTAAAATCTGCTATGAACTGGTCACACATCTTTACTAACTCAGATGTCAAAAATAACAAGACTTTACACTAATTATAGTATTACTGTTATTCTTTTTATACTCTTTTGAATTTTTCTACCTTATCAAAAACCTTAAGATCAATTATCTAAGCCAAAACAAATGGCAATAAGTATGAGCAAAAATACACTTAATAGCCAATGTAAATTTTGCTTAAATGAATGTAACTGAGGACTTTTTGATAGGTTGAGAGCTGAAACATGACATTAAAACTGACAAAATGTTTCCTAAACCCAAATAGTCACAATGAAATTGCATATATTTTCCTGTGGCCAAAACATTCAAGAATGCTCTTTGAAGTAGAGGGTTTATGTTATAAATAAACTTGTTCACAAGTAAATTAGATTTTGTTGGTCTCTTGGGTTTGCTAGTAACTGGGGTTTAAACTAAAGAGCCTTATATTTGCTGGGTAGGCATTCTACCGCTTGAGCCATGACCCCACACCAAAATGGTGATCTTGTTAGTATCTTTCAAGAGCACTTTATGTAACTCAACTTCTGATCACTATTTTCCTTCATTCAAGCACTTTTAAATTTGTATGCTTTTAAATTAGTAGAAATCAGAAAAACATTATCAAAAATTAAAAGTCTACCCAATACTTTAGAAACCAGGAGTAGTTTGTGAATTTGGTCAGATTCATATTCTTCATACATATTTTTAACATTTCAATTATTTAAAAGGAATCCAAATGTCTGGCATAAGCTTTCCTGCTTTCACTATAAGCAAACTTGTTATAAAATGTTATCAAGAAGTAATTAAAAGAACTTTGGTTATTTCTTCGGGATGTAAATGCAAACCTGCTTCACCACTACAATACAACAGGCTAATTTTGGAATTATACAACTAGAGAAGATTATATACAATGATCTATCCATCAAAAATAGGAGGATAGTTGGTTCAAGTGCTCTAGCTTGTTGGCTCCACCGAATCTTTCAGCTTTTACTCCTCTGTAGAAGGGTGGGATAAACCAGCCTCTGCTTTAGGGGTCTTCAGTTTCTGTTTAAAAGCTCGGATACTGCTGCATATGGCTGCTAGGCACACTTTCCAGTCATCACTATCTTCCATTAGATTACAGGAAGGGAAGCTTTCCTGGAGAAACTCTGGTGGTAAAACAGAAGAGTTATTTAGAAATCACACTAGAAAAATGAATTTACTCACTCTCAATTTTACTGCTATTTCTTTTCAATTCTGGAGACCAACCCCAGGGCAATATATGTGTGTGTGTGTGTGTGTGTGTGTGTGTGTGTGTGTGTGTGTGTGTGTGTGTGTGTGTGTGTGTGTGTGTGTGTGTGTGTGTGTGTGTGTGTGTGTGTGTGTGTGTGTGTGTGTGTGTGTGTGTGTATATATTTAATATATATATTTAATACTGAGTGAGGTGGAGATTGGGAGGATCGTGGTTCAAGGCCAATGTGAGCAAAAATGTAGTGTAACCTTATCTCAGCATGCAAGTCAGGTTTAGCAGAGCACACCTCTACCCTCAGCTGTGAGAGAGGCAGAGATAGGAGGATTATGGTCTTAGAACAACCCAAGCAAAATAAATCGTAAGACCTTATCAGAAAAACAACTAAAGCAAAATGGACTGGAGGTGTGGCTCAAATGGTAGTACATCTGCCTAGCAAGCAGAAGACCCTGACTTCAAATGTCAGTACCATAAAAAAAAACTAATTGAAACATGCTTTCCCCTGGTGTCAGTGGCTCGGGCCTGTACTCCTACTTAGGAGGCTGAGATCTAAGAATGGAGGTTCAAGGGCAGAAAAGTCTGTGGGACTCTTATCTCCAGTTAATCACAAAAAAAAGCCAGAAGTGGAGTGGTACATCAAGTGGTAAAGACTAACCTTGAGCAAAATAGCTCAGAGACAGTGCCCAGGCCTAGGAACAGCAAAAAGGAAAATGTTCCACAAACATTATCTTAAAAGCTGAGTAAATCTGTTAATCTAAAAGAATGAGATGAAATAGTACCATTCTTAAAGCACAATAAAACAGTAATTTCCATGACCTTGCTGCAGCAGGACAGAAACTCCACTGCCTTAAGCACCCAGGAACGTTTCTTATTCATAAGTGTATCAAACATATATCCATGTGTGCTAATAAGCCTTTGCAATTCACAAGAAGCACCAGTGTCTTCATATATGGAGATATAAGAAGCTACCTATCATTGCTACTTTTTTTTTTCAGGTAAGGGGTAGGTTTATTCAGTAGACCTGCTGGGACCAGGCAAGGTTGGCACTCCACGTGGCTGGGAAAGGCCTGGGAATGAGAGAGAGCTGGGAAGAGAGGAAAGAGAGAGAAAAGAGCCAGAAAAGAGCAGAGAGGGGTAAGAACAGTAGCACTCACGTGGTATTCAGGTAAGGGGTAGACCTGCTGGGACCAGGCAAGGTTGGCACTCCACGTGGCTGGGAAAGAGAGCAAGAAAAGAACAGAGAGAGAGAGCTAGAATAGAACAGAGAGAGCAAGAAAAGAGCAGCAAGAGCAAGCCTATCATTGCTACTTTTTGCACCACTAAATTTATCTCTAGAAAAGGAAATGAGTCTGTAGATCTTACAGTTACAGGAAGATGTGCATGTAGGAAGGTAATAGTGAAAAATACAATGAGCACTCTTGGTGGGGGAGAGGACAAAGAATAAGGGATTGGTGTTTGTTAGAAGAACACAGGTGCCTTTAACTTCCATGCTTTTGTAATTAGCTCTACATCTCTGAACCCTTAGGAAAGAATATGGTGATTGCTACAGGTCAGCATTGAATGGTGACATCAATCACATTCGTTTTTCAACATGGTAACAAGTGACAAATCAACATGTCATTAACACAGCCTATCTCCATTCTTTTTAGCAAGATATGTGTCAAAGGCTGCATATTCATAGCACCAACCAATTATCAGCAGTAGCCACAGGAGCTTCTGTGGCAAGTCACTGGAATCAGTATGGCTCCACTATGATGAACATTTTTATTAAGAAAAAAAGGTGCCAGGCAAAGAAAGCTTGTACCATGTGGCCCTGGTAGCAAAACTGGGAGGATAATGACCACATAATGACCACATAGCACCTGCAAATCTCACAACAGACAATAAGGGGCCAAAATTGGTTGGTGTGTTCTCTTCAACACAATTCCTAAAAAGTTAGTGTGTGTTCTCCATCACTAATCCTAAAATGTTTCAGACTGTGCAAATGGGAAAAGCAATACTCTGGAGTTAGTGCCAACTTGGTGTTTTACATTGCACATAAGCACTTTAAGTGCTCTGAAAATATTCAACAGCAGAAAGCTAACAACAGGAACTTGCACTGATTCAAAGGCAATAGGGGAGGCAAAGCTGGTGGGGTGCATAAATGAAGGAGGAGTCTGAACACAAGGCAATAGGACTAGGAAGACCTAGTGAAGCCAATGGATTAAAGGTATTCTAAACTTGTTTTAAAACTGAGAGACCACTGGACACCAGTGGCTCATGCCTATAATCCTAGCTACTCAGGAGGCTGAGATCTGAGGATCGCAGTTCAAAGTCAGCCCAGGCAGGAAAGTCTGTGAGACTCTTATCTCCAAGAAACCACCAGAAAACCGGAAGTGGTGCTCTGGCTCAAGTGGTAGAGTACTAGCCTTGAGCTGAAGAGCTGAGGGACAGTGCCCAGGCCTAGAGTTCAAGCCCCAAACTAACAAAAACAAAACCAAAAAACTGAGAGACCATTGAAGTCCTTGTTGCCTTGAGGTCTCTTGTGATCATTTGACTAAAAAGTATTTTATTCATGAAACACCTATTAATATACAGCAGTCTTTAAAAAAGTTTGGGATTGGGTGCTAATGGCTCCTGCCTGTAAGCCTAGCTAGTCAGGAGGCTGAGATCTTGAGGACTGAGGTTCAAAGCTAGCCCAGGTAAGAAAGTCCATGAGATTCTTATCTCCAATTAATTGCCACAGAAAACCAGAAGTGGAGCTATGGCCCAAAGTGGCAGAATGCTAGCCTTGAGCAAAAGAACTCAGGGACAGAGCTCAGGTCATGAGTTCAAGTCCCTTGACCAAAAAAACAAAACAGAAAAAAAAGTTTGGGGAATGCTGATCCTACACTAATAGGATAAAATGTAGCACAACTAACTATGAAATTCTACATTAAAAATTAGAAATACTAATAGAAAGGACAAGAGCCTAGTAACACTAGGGGGAGGAATCTAAAAATCTTAGTTAGCCATAACTTTAAAAATAGTAAATGTCACTTTAAACTGCATTAGCAACCTAGTAGGTAATAGTGTTACTATATTCTGGGTTGATTTGGGAAAGCATGCAACAAACCTCGGATAGCAGCAATTGTATTGTCGTCAAGATTACAAACATCAAACTGCATGTTGTCAAAGATGGTATTTCTGGACAACTCCTCTGTGAACAGGTAGTGACTGAGGTATCTGGCTGATAGCTCTGGAGAACGCTTTGTTTTCGCTATAGTCATTACTGAACACGGTACGTGTACACGTCTACTCGAATGTCCCAAATGACCTAGCAAAGAAAAAGATGCTAATTTTCACAGCAGATATTTGGTTGCACTTTTTCAAGATTTAAGTAGAAAGGCTGATTTTTCTAAATTTTTAGGCTCAAAAATTGGAAAGGTTGAAGGAATCAATTATTAAATTTTAAATGTTAAATGTTAAATTTTTAGTGGTTAGGAGACAGCATGATGGGACAGAATTTACTTGCTTATGTGATTGCACATGCTCCCATTGGTCAAGGGGAGGCTTTAGTGGTATGTTACTTTTTAGGATGCAATAATTATGTGAAAATTACTTTGGTGCTACTTGAAAGGATCATACATGGTTCAAGGCCACTTGGGCAAAATAAACGTTGGAGAACTTATCTCAAAAAAACAAAGCAGTTGAGCAAAAAGAAGTTTGAGAGACCTTATCTCAAAAATAAAGCAGCTGCTGGGCGCTGGTGGCTCACGCCTGTAATCCTAGCTACTCAGGAGGCTGAGATCTGAGGTCACAGTTCAAAGCCAGCCCGGGCAGGAAAGTCCATGAGACTCTTATCTCCAATAAACCACTAGAAAACCGGAAGTGGCACTGTAGCTCAAGCGGTAAATGCTCACCTTGAGCTGAAGAGCTGGGGGACAGTGCCCAGGCCCAGAGTTTAAGCCCCATGACTGACAAAAAACAAACAAAAATAAAGCAGCTGAGCAAAAAAAAAGTTAGAGACTTTATCTCAAAAAATAAACCAGTTCACATAGTTTTATTTTCATGGATGAAAATAGAACAATAAGGCCTGTGGAAGTTGTCTTAAAAAAGGGGGAAGTAGCATAGGTCAGTGATAGAGGAGTAAAACTGATTAGGATACACACCTGTTCATACGAGTGGAAAAGTATTGAAAATAAAACTCCCCTTACACAACACACTGTATGCTAATTAAAAAAAATCAGGTATGGTGTATATGCCTACAATCCCAGCTATATGGAAGGCAGAAGTAGGGGAATGGTCATTCAAGGCCAGAAAGAGCAAAAAAGAAAAATAAAGAAAAAAAAGAGTTGCAGAGCACTTGCCTCCCAAGGATGAGGCCTGAGTTCAAATACAAATGGCATCAAAAAAGAAATTTGAAAATGAGAAATAAAGAAAGTAAAATTAGATTTAGTAAGAAATTCTAAGTAGTCTCAGACATATACTAGTTGGAGGAGGCAACAATGCTTGATAAGAAATGTACTCATTACTTTGCTCGTGTAATTGTAACCCCTCTGTACGGTATTTTTACAATAAAAGAACTTATCAATAATAAAAAATAATTCTAAGTCGTTTTAATGACACCAAAATAAGCACTATGATTCTTCTTACTGCATTATTTTCATTTCTAAAATGCAGAGATTTAATTTAGTATTAAACTCATCACTTAAACATCAACAAACTTCTGGTTGTTCATAGATATATTTTAGATACCGTATTTGAGCTCAAAAATAAATGTTGAAGTTTTCATTTCTCAACTGCATATATCTTCTGCAGTCCATAATGATTAAAATTATCATATTTGAAAATTGCATTTTACATATAATAAAGAATTATTTCTTAAGGAAGACCTATTAGAGAAATAGGACATTATTATTACAAGTAAATGTTTACTTGATCTTAGAACATTCATCATTTAATACGTAGAGTACTATAAATTGTTGAATCACCCATATTTAACATGATCAGATTAACTTACTTAAAAATGGGCCTAAAGGATTAACTCTGGGGTGTTAATCAAGTAATAGATAAGACTAATATTCTAGTCATAAATTCAATTTCTAAGAACCTAAGAAAATTATCCAAAATATGGAATAGCTATCCAAATGAAGATACTTCTTTACAGTGTGATTGATAATCTTCTAAAGAATCCTCAAATAATTAAGTAAATAAACAAGGAGTAAGCTAAATAAATTAGAGTAAATTATGCACTGTTATATATCTACTAAGAAAAATGATGATAGATTGTAGGTTCTTCAGAAAACAAACATATTATCTGGGAGAGGGAGAATAGTTATATGGAGACCATGTTTGATATGTTCCCAAGAAAAAGGAAAATGAGAAAAAATGAAAATACCTTCAACATTTCTAAATTACTGATGATGAAAACTTTTCCCCTTTTAACTATTTTTTGAAGTTTTAGAATAAACCAGTATAATAACTACACAAACTGGCAGCTTCCTTGCTCACAATGCACTTAATAATCCTGTCACCTGCTATAGTTAAATCACATTTATAGACCTGTGACCCAATCTCCCCAGAAAGATTCTTTTCCTTTCACATGGTCTTGGGTCTCTGGCTCGTACTTGCTTGAGGCTCATATTGTCTGGTGCTTCTTTTATGTAGTATGTTTATTGTTATCTAATTTAGGGTGATTCACCAATTTATAGTACTACTTATTAAATGATGGATTTAGCTTTTAAAGTAGTTCTATAATGGTAAAACAAAATTAACAATTTATCGTTTCACAATTTTGTTTGCACAGGATCCTAGGCAATACCTTACTAAGGGGGTTGACCTGAGGGAAGGGTAGAAACAAAATGGAATTTTGCCACCTTGGGAATCACTCATTGGTGATGCTGAAGTCCATCATCCTGGGAAGGATGTCTTGGGGAATGTAAGCAGCTACTGGCACCATTACCTATGAAATTGACCCTTGATACAAATAAAAGCAGAGTCTTTGACAGACAACTTGCAGTGGAAGCACAATGTTCTGAAGAATGGGATCCGTTAAATTCACGCCAAAACCCCTTATTGAGCACCAGTGATCTACCAAGCATGGAGACCAAAAAACTTCAGGTTCACACTAGCTCCTGCAGAGGATGCTGACTCCTCTGAGCTAGTAAGTCAGCAGGGAGCTGCTGGGGCTGCTCTCCAGGTGGAGAGGATGGGAAGAGACAGAGGTTTCGATTGTAAACCATCAGTCTCAGAACTAGGCACCCTTTATTTTCTCATTAAGAAGTTTAAATTGCTTTAATTTCTTGCAAAATTTTTCCAACGTACAAAAAAGTTGAGAACAGTACAATGAGACCTACAAATGCATTACCAGAATCTAACATTTATGAGCAAAATAACTGATTTTCAAAACTCACCCAGTTGTTCCACATAACAAGTGACTGGCTTTCCATTTCTTGTTCCAGAGAGTACCCTCCTTCCATACAGAACCCTCCCGCAAGGCTCATTACTTCCCTCTCCATCATCGTTCCTTCTCACACAAACAAGAGCAACTTCATGCTGAAACAAAAAAGTCATATCTAAAAACCAAGCCCCATGGTCTAAAAATATGTCCATATTCCAGTATCTACCAGCATGTTCCTCTGGTTGGTAGGTAAGAAAGCATTTCTAGAGAGATGGGCTGACACCATAAGTACTCCGTGCCCATTTATCTGAAGGAAAGAAAGCAGAAGTGCAGATTCTCCTTCAGGATGCCATGACTCACTGCTTCTGAGGGTGGTCTTGATAGCTCTAATGGACTGAATGATAACTGCTAGCACAAAAAAGTACATGGCAAACATTCCAGGAACAAATGAATGAATTTCTTAGGAATGATCATGTTTGCTTGTTTTTTTTAATGCTTTGTTTTCTGTTTTCCTAAGTGGGTTTCAAGTCCAGCTGTATATTTGAATTACTTTAGGAATCCTCTTTTTTTTAAACACAAAAAATGTTTGTGTCCTACCTTAGAAAATTCAACCAGAATCACTGGAGGTAGAAGGAAGGAATTACAGCAGGAGTAAGCTTTTTCAGGAGTGTTTCATGTAGTCAGGCCTAATAGCACATTCCTGTAAGTCCCTGCTACTCAGGAGGCTGAAAGAGGCAGGAGGATCTGAGACCACAAGCTTGAGACCAGCCTGAGCAACACAATAAGCACCCATCTCAAACAAAAAGGGTCTCAGCCAGGTGCCAGTGTTTTATACCTTTAATCCTAGCTACTTGGAAAGCTGAGATAGAATTGTGGTTTGAGGCTAGGCTGGGCAAAAATAGTTGGCAAGAACACTTCTTGACCAATAGCTAGATAAGATGAGATGTACCTATTATTGGAGTCTTGTGGGAAACATAAATAAAGCAGACTGCAGATAACGTACACTAGGCAGAAACTCAGACTTTATCTTAAAAATAATGCAAGCTTAGTGTCAGTGGCTCACATCTATTAATCCTTGCTACTCAGAAGGCTGAGATCTCAGGATCTTGATTCACAGTCAACCCAGGTAGAAAAGTCCTTGATTGTCACCTGCAAATTAACCTGCATAAAGCTAGACCGAAAGTATGACTCACATGGTAGTGATATAGTAGCCTTGAGAAAACAAGACACATGAAAGCACTAGGCCCTGAGTACAAGCCCTTATACTGGCAATGCAATAAATAAGTAAGTGCACACATAAACTCCCCAAGGGCTTAGAGATGTAACTCAGCAATAGAGTGCCCACCTAGCAAGTGTGAGGCTCAGCTGAAATCTCAGTACTGACCCTAAAATAGTGTCTCAAGTGATTCTTACCCAGATAACAGCTACTACTCTAGGTTGGAGCCTTTCAAATAAGTGCTCACAAATCACCTGTGTAGAGTAGGAACATACAAAAACGTAAATTCTGTCAGAATCTGACGTAGAATCCAAGATTGTTTTTCTCACAAACTTTTTATACTGCTGCTGTTGCTGGACTGAAGACCCACTTTGAGTAGCAAAATTCCCCCAGTTTCATTTCAAGCATACACCAGGCACCTGACAGATGCTGCGTCTCTTCTGCTGCCTAAGCAAATATGCAAATTGAAGTTTTCCAGGCAGTTTCTTGATTTTATGTGCAATTGTTTAGGGCGCAGTTTTGAAGGATATAAAAAGGAATGTTAAAAATAACTAGATTTGGTTTCAGACAGGTGGTACTTGAGCCATCACTCCAAATGTTTACCTGAAAAACATTGGCTCAGCTGCAAGAATTCTTAGCAAATAGTTTGTATAGACCATCTAGAGGGGTAGGAATGACTAAATATGCCAAGAATAAAGTTTAGAGAGATTGGTGGAAATTAGGAAATGTCATTAAGCTAAACACATCTTCAGCCAAAGAGAAACAACATAGACAAGAATAAAGTTTAGAGAGATTGGTGGAAATTAGGAAATGTCATTAAGCTAAACACATCTTCAGCCAAAGAGAAACAACATAGAATCCTCATCTCTAAGGATCCATTTAAGGTTAAAAGTCATTTAAATTGGACATACAATGCCTATAAGAGAAACCAAATATCTATTACCATGCAAATATACTGAATGTAAAATACCTGTGACAGCTTAACCCCAAAGCTTGCATTATTTTCACCAGGTCTCAACAACATTGAAAGTGAACAAGTTAATGAGGGCCTGTAATTTCTCCTATGCTATCCTCAGCTGCTGCCACCACCCACAACAACCAAGAGGCACACACAGATGCCTCCTTTTGGTGTTACTTAGTGAGATACTGAAAAAGATTTTGTAAACAACTTGGTAAGTTAAAACTTACACTGATATAGAGCTTGGCTTCAAATATATTAATCCTAAATATTTTATTTACCTTTAGGTTATGTTTTAAGGAGTCTAAATACAAAATAATAAAACAAACAGGCACTATGCTTTTGATCACATACTACCCCCCCTAACAAGAAAATAGCAAGCCAGGTGCTGGTGGCTCACACCTGTAATCCTAGCTACTTAGGAGGCTAAGATCTGAGGATCACGGTTCAAAGCCAGCCCGAGCAGGAAAGTCTGTGAGACTGTTATCTCCAATAAACCACTCAGAAAACCAGAAGTGGCACTGTGGCTCAAGTGGAAGAGCACTCGCCTTGAGCTGAAGAGGGCAGGGACAGCATTCAGGCCCAGCGTTCAACCATGGCTGACAAAAAAAGAAAGAGAGAGAGAGAGAAAGAAGCAGATGGCCTGAAGATCCTGTGCATGATGATTATCAGTTCTGGAATTATATACAGTATGGACTTACACAGCAGTTACTTACAGTTAAATAAAAAATAACTTACTAAATGTGTTTGAACTTCAATGCACAAATTTTCAACCAAACGTCTGATACTGGACATACAAATGCTCCAGTCATTTCCATTTTCTGTCAAATCATACTGAAGGAAAATATTTGCCAAATGTTCTGAAAAAGTGAAGGTATTCATGAAAGTTGGAAAGGAAATCAACAAAGAAACAAGTTAGAATTACTTTAAATAAATGGACTCAGCCTGGTACCAATGACTGATGCCACTCAGGAAGCTGAGATCTGAGGACCACAGTTTGAAGCCAGCCCAGACAGCCTCAGACTCTTATCTCCAATTAGCCACCAGAAAGGTGGATGTAGAGCTGTAGCTCAAGTGGTAGATTACTATCCTTGACCACAAAAGATCAAGGATGACACTGAGACCCTGAGTTTAAGATCCAGTACTGGCACAAATAAATAAATACATAAACTCTATTCTAGTTGCCATTTTTTGTCTCTTTCAGAGAGTTTAGAAATTCTATCCAATGAGGATTCTTTGCTGAATTATTTCTTCCTCTTATAGGAAATTTCCTAAAACACTAACCTAAGAAAGGTCTTCTTGCTTTAAAAAATATTTTTAAAATAATACATTAACCAAAAGCCAAACTGGCAGAGTCCTGAGATAATTTAATACCCCAATGGATGAGTTAGAACTAAAACAGGCAACCTGTAAAGAGAAAATAGTGTCACTGCAAACATCATGACACAGTGCTTCATTTACTTGTGTATTTACAATGTCTATTTTCCTATAAGCTCTTCCTTCTTCTTAAACTTTCTCTCCTTTGTCCTTCAACCATCTAAAGAGTCTTTTGGAATCTTGTTCCAATGTATGTCCTTAGCAAAGCATCTTGGAACATCTTCAAAATTGTTGCTCTGCTCGCTGAGCCCCTACAACAACACCACACCAAATTGGAAATTATCTGTTGTCGTCAATGTGTCATTTCTAGACTTTAACCTGTTTGAAGAAAAAAATTTCTTCCTATGGTATCCTCAGTGTCTATGAGTTATAGGGCCTCACTACATTTTTCTGAAAGGCAGAAGACTTATTTCTGTGCTGTTAGTTGCTAACACTGAAACGTTCTTATTCCTTTCTCTATCCTCTCCTTTCTCCATCCTCTATTTATTTGGCTTTTCTTAGCAAGCTCCAGTGCTAAAAAAAAAAGTGACTACTTATTCACCATAAGCAATTACATTTAATAAGGCTAATCTTAGTCTAGCAGTCTATTGACAGGTTTTCTTTTAAAAGTTGTTACCCATTACATATCATTAAATTGTAAAATCAGGGTCACCCAGCTGAAAATAAAGAGTTCTAAGATTTACATTTTTATCATTCTTTAATTAATAATAACACTTTTTACATGACCAAGTAATGATTTTTAATCCCTAATTACATAATAAATGCACATACCTCTTATTGCAGCCATTCTGTTTGGATCCAGGTCTGGGTAACCTAGACCATTGATACTTGCTGAACTGTTAATCAGACTTTCCTCAGAGAACACCACATAAACCAAGTAGCAGGCTGCAAGGCTGAGTTTGGTCATCTTCTCTACAGTCTCCAAATGAGTATTATGTACCCTGATATTTCTTCTTGGATCTCCAAGATATGCTTTAAAAATCCAAGAAAAAAATCCTTGCTTTCAAACACATTTCATGAAAGTGTTTAATGTAGATTAACCAATTTCTTTTATTTTTCTTTTTTGGTCAGCCGTGGGGCTTGAACTCTGGGCCTGGGCGCTGTCCCTCAGCTCTTCAGCTCAAGGCTAGCGCTCTACCACTTGAGCCACAGCGCCACTTCTGGCTTTTTCTGCTTATGTGGTGCTCGGGAATCGAACCCAGGGCCTCATGAATGCAAGGCAAGCGCTCTACCACTGAGCCACCTCCCCAGCCCAAATTAACCAATTTCTAACGCGAATTATTTTCCGCTATTTTTACATGACATTACTCCTATGTGAAACAGTAAATGGTATTAAAGATCTCTTTGGGTACCATTTTTCTATTTACCAGCATATTTCTTATACTGACATGTGACTCTGAAATATCTCAAAGTGAAATGTTTATTTAGGTTATAACTAATAAATTGTATTAAAAGTATGCTACTTGGGGCTGGGAAGGTAGCTCAGTGGTAGAGCGCTTGCCTTGCATGCATGAGGCCCTGGGTTCGATTCCTCAGCACCACATAAGCAGAAAAAAATTTTTTAAAAAGACGGAAGTGGCGCTATGGCTTAAGTGGTAGGGTGCTAGCCTTGAGCTGAAGAGCTGAGGGACAATGCCCAGGCCCAGAGTTCAGGCCCCACGACCGGATCCAAAAAAGTATGCTACTTGTACTATGAATCATTTCAAACATACCAAAACCTGTGATTAAGGGAAATTCTGGAATGTTATCTTGGCCTGTATCATTTTCCATGGAAACTGGGCAATTCACTCTCACAGGTATCAGTTCTTGGTCATCTGTCAGTGTTGAAAGACAAACAAAAACTCACCATTTGTTTTTTGACAATACTAGGGATTAAACCTGGACTGATACTTGCAAGGCAGGTGCTCTACAACTTGAGTCAAGTCACCAATACCTCTTTGTGATGATTACTTTCAAGGGAGGGTCTTGCTTTATGATCTGAGCTACCCTGGGCTGTGATACTCCTACTTGTGTTTCCCATGTTGTTGGGTATGATAGTCACATGGCCATTATACCCAGCTATTGTGTTTACCCTGTAGCTGGGGTAATAGGGGAGCGCCACCATGCCTCATGATTGCTTGAGATGAAGTCTTAAGAACTTTTCTGTGTAGGCTAATCTCTAGACACAATCCCTTGGATCTCTGTCTCCCAAGTAGCTAGTATTACAGGCTTGAGCTATTACGTTGTCACCAAATTGTTATCAATAAAGGAGAAATGGAAGCACTCTCTAAGAAAAACTTAAAAGTTGTCACTTACCCAAAAAGAAGGGGTAAACAGATAAATCATAGTGCATCTAGACCATGGAATACACTTCACCAATAAAAGGAAGAATGGTTGGTACATGCAACAATGTGGATGAGAGATCAGGGAACTGCACTAGGGGAAAAAAGCCAACTGCTAAGTTATATACCACATGATTCCATTTATATAATGTTGAAGTGACAAATCACAGATTTAAACAACAGATTGGTGGATTCCAGCAGTTAAAAACAGGGCAGGGCTTTGGGAAGAGATGTTAAACTAGAAAGCAGCAAATGTAATTATAACAGAGTAAATGAGAGAACACGGTGGTGACAGAATTATTTGGGGGCTGACCTGTAGTAGAGGATGCATGAACCTGAAATGTGAGAAAACTGAACTAAAACATGCACATATACATGTACACAAAAGAATAAAAGTAAAGCTGAGGAACTTAAGATAATATCTATTAATAGTGTCACATCAGTATCCTGGTTGTACAATTTTTCTATAGCTTTGCATAATGTTACTATTTGGGTGAACTGGACAATGGAAATACAGAATCCCACTACATTATTACAACTATATATTTAGCTAAATTTTTCCTGAAAACAAAGTTTAGTTAGAAAAAGCCACCACTATCTTATACTAAGGACATTAAAGAATTTAGATAAAACAGCGCTTTATGTAATAAGTATCATTCCAAACTCACCCAAAGTGTGACTTCAATGATGTGGAAATATTTTGGCTACTGTCATCTTCCAATAAAAGCAAGGAATTTGTCTCATATTTCCTTCCAGGCTGGATTGTGCTTGTACCAAATGTTTCCATAAATAAAATATTTTTAAACATTGAAAGAAACCTCAACTGTGAAGCAAAACTACCCTTTAAAAATGAAAATCTGGATGACTTAGTGCTGCTAGCACTATCACTTCAAACTCACCAAAAAAGAGGGGGATAGAGAAAAATGGAGATTCATTATCTTCTTCATCATTATCATAGTCACTGTCATTTCCAATCTCAGGTGGGTTATCCATTATATCTGAGTTGTCTTGATCCATAGTTTTGGGATCAAATAGTATCTCTTCAAGTATAACTTTTTCAACTCCTGGAAGAAAAGAATTCTTGATCAAAAGGTATGTACTAGATAAAATTATCAAATTACCCTTCAAATAAAGGGGAAATAGTGGCATTCTCACACAGAGCAAAATTAAAAGAATTCATTCTGCCAGGCACTGGTGGCTCACGTCTGTAATCCTAGCTACTCAGGAGACTGAAATCTGAGGCTTGTGGATCAAAAGCTAAGCCTCTGAAGGAAAGAGACTCTTGTCTCCAATTAACTACCAAAAATTGAAAACGGAGCTGGAACTGGCTTTGAGCACAAAAATCTCAGGGACAGCACACAGGCCCTGAATTCAAGCCCCAGGACTTGACCCCGCCTAAAGAAAAAGGAAAGAAAAGGAATTTGTTCCTTGCTGTTCTAGACCAAAATATTAGCAAAAAGTTCCAGAGACTCCATCTTAACTATAGCTGCATGCAGTGGCATGTTCTAGTACGCCAAAATATTCCAGAGATTGAGATGGAAGGATTCCATTTATATATCAACCAGTCTGGAAAGGAATGTCCATGAGACTCCCATCTCCAATTAACCACTAAAAAGCTGAAAGTTGTGGTTCAAGTGAGAGAGCACAAAAGCTCAAGTACAGTATACCCAGGCACTGAGTTCAAGCCCTAGGACCTGCACACATACACATACACAAAAAGATTACATAGATTACATATACATATATATGCACATATATAATAAACATGTATCTGCACTTCAAAATAAATATTAGTGCATCAAGGACAGAAACAAAACAATAAAAAAGATCAATCAGAAATATAAATGTGGTTATAAGAAATTAGAAAGCCTTTTTGGAAAACTCTTTGGAAGATAAATATAATATAAGACCTAACAGTTGCATTCTTGTCACTCATGACAGAGAAATAACTTATTCAAAAAATGGGGAATAAAAGGAGGGAGTGATTTTTCAAAACCTGTCTATAAACATACTATGGAGAACTATTGCTCCATATAAAAGGATGAACTATTGAGAAATTAAAACTATATTTAGATAAAAATGGGTATAGGAATATTAACAAAGCTTTATTCCTGGTAGCAAAATCTCAAAAACAAAAGGGTTAAAAACAAGGAGTATTTTCAAACCATAGTTTATTATTCAGCAATATAATAAATAATTATCAATACACACAACAGGGATGACACTCTGGACAAAACAAACTGAGTGAAAATCAAAGCCAGTTTGGAACATCAATTGGAAGACTTACAAAGCTCTAGAGCCACATGTTAAGAGATGGGTCATGGGCCAGGGGTAGCCAGAGTTGACTGTGGTTTATCAAAGGACAACTGTAGGGAAGCTTATACAAAAGGAAGTGGTGTCTCCACTGAACATAGTGGTGGACATAAAAATCTACTCATATCATAAAATTTCATACAATTAGATACATATACACATAAAACACATGTGGATATAAGAAAAAGTGGGGACATTCCAATAAGATCTGTGAATTATCTCCATGTAAAAATTCTGACTGTGCCATTTTATTGTGTTTATTTTTTTAGTATTACTTTGGAGGAAAACTAAGTAAAGAGTATGAGTGCTCTCTGCAGCATTTGCTTACACCTGCACGTGATTCTGAAATACCTCAAAATAAGTTTTGTTTTTGAAATTTTCACCAAGAATTGATGTTAAGATCATTGGTCAGTGAAAAAATATAACAGTGTTACTTGTTAGACACTAAACCAATTTATTGCCACCAAGCCAGCACTACAATACTCAGAGATGTCCCTACCTACAAAAGAAGGGATAAGAACAAAAGAGATATAACTCCTAAAGAAGGGAGGAAACATAACAGGAGCTATCACATACTACTCAGTTCTAACACTAATACCAATTGGCTCAATTCTCTGATCAAAAGACACAAGACCCATTCATTCATCTGCTGCCTATAAGAAACAACATCTGGCAGTGGTGCTGTGGATCAAGCGGTAGAGTGCTCACCTTGAGCTAAAGAGCTAAGGGATAGTGCCCAGGCCCAGAGTTCAAGCCCCACGACAAAGAAAGAAGAAGGAAGGAAGGAAGGAAGGAAGGAAGGAAGGAAGGAAGGAAGGAAGGAAGGAAGGAAGGAAGGAAGGAAGGAAGGGAGGGAGGGAGGGAGGGAGGGAAGGGAGGGAAGAAGGAAGGACATCTGACAAAGATAAATACCTACTCAAGGTAAAAGGTTGGAACAAATTCTTTCAAGCAAATGTCCCTCATAAAAAAGTTGGAATAGCAACTTCAAATAGACTTCAAATTAAAATTAGTAAGATGAGACAAAGAAGGACATTACATAAAGGGAACTCACCATCAGGAGGCCATAAAATTCTAAACATCTATGCACTGAATGCTGGAACTCCCAACTTTATCAAACAAATACTAATTGACCTAAAAACACACATAGATCCAAACACATTAATCACTGCTTACTTCAACACACCACTGTCACCTTTGGAAAGATCACCCAGACACAAATTTAGAAACCTCAGAACTAAATAACTGCATTGACGAGCTAGCCTTAACATACATCTACAGAATATTCCATCCAGCAGCATTGCAATATACATTTCTTTTGGAACCCAATGAACATTCTCCAAAATAGATAGCATCTTAAGTCCCAAAGCAAATTTCTGAAAATTCAAGAAAATTGAAATTACTACCTGTATCTTGTCAGAACATAATGGAATGAAATTAGAGCTCAACAGCAAAAGCCATTACAGAAAATATTCAAACCCATGGGATATTCAAACATTTCTGAAATTCAATATAAATGAAAACACAAAATACCAGCTCCTCTGTGACACAGCAAAGGCAGTTTATAGCTAAGAGTGCTTACACATGAACAAATTAAATAAATCTTAAATCAATACTCTAATAATGAACCTCAAGCTCCTAGAAACAGAAACAAGCCAAACCCAAAACCAGTAGAAAGAAATAATAGAAATTAGATCAGAAATAAAATGAACTAGTCTTAAAAATCCATATAAAGCTTCAACAAAACAAAAAGTTAGTTCTTTGAAAAGATTAATAAAATTGACAGGCCTTTAGCGACCTAAGAGAAATCCCCTAAATAAATAAATTTAGAGATGAAAAAGGGAACATCACAACAAAAACAAGCAAAATTCAGAAGATTTTAAGGGAATACTTTGCAAAGCTTTCTGCCAATAAATTGGAGAATCTGACACAAATGGATGCATTCCTAGTGGTATATATACACAATGGAATTTTAGTCACATATTAGAATGATATTGTACCATTTGTAAAGAAATAGAAAGACTTAGAAAAAATATGTTAAGTGAAGTAACAGAGAGACAAAAGGATCCCTGTTTTCCCTTCTATGTGGAGCAAATATGTTGAGTAGTATGCAAGTGTATACACATGTAGTAACTAAAATACAGTAGATTCAAAGAATTCAAATATTGTAATCTCTTAGGCGAAGTCAAAGTTCAACAAAATAAATGCCAGAATGTGGTTACTTGAAAGAGGTATGGTCGGGAAAATGTGTACACAAAAGAGGACGAAAAGAGCAGGAAGAAAAATGTATATACAAGATGTAGGGCATTGGAATCAAATATAGTGAAAACAGGGGTTATAGAATGGAGGTAGAACATAAAAAAGAAACAAAAAAATCACATAGTACATTATAACTACATTAAAACCTACAGCAAGGAAGATAAAACCTCTTGTGTCCCTATCTTGGGGTTCATTTCACTTACTTTGTAGCAATTAGATGTACAAGACACTATTAGCAATGAGATGTACAGACACTATGTTGAAAGCGAACTTTACAACTTGTAGGGGGAGGAGGTGGAGAGGTGGGGAAGAAAGGAATGGTAAGGGTAAAACAAAGGAATAGGGTAACAGTGCTTGATAGGAAATGTACTCATTACGTTCTTCATGTAACTATAACCCCTCTGTACAGTATCTTTACAATAAGTATATATATATTAATATACTAAAAAAGAGGGGAAAAAGTTGGCACATGAAAAAAAGAGTGAGGAGAATGCAGTCAAGAATTCAATCTCTATGTTCTGTACATCACCTTTACAATAACCATAAAAATTAGTTTAACAAAGAAAATACTGGAAATACCTACTGGACAGTATATTGGAAACGAACTTTACAACTTCACGCAGTGAGGGGGCAGGGGGGATAGAAGTGTGGGAGCTGGGGGAGGGAAGGGATAGTGGGACAACAAGAAGGAAGGGAAGGGGTAACAATGATCAACAAGAAATGTACTCATTGCCTTACTAATGTAACTGTAACCCCTCTGTACAACATCTTAACAATAAAATAAAAATTAAAAAAAGAAAATACTAACAAAAAAAGAATCCAATATATGATGAGTATGTTGAAAGAGGTGACATTGATTGAGATATAGGTATTCATAACTACTTTGTTAAACAGCAATTCCTTTGTACAACTACTTAAAATTTTTTTAAAAAAAGAAAAATTAAACAAAAAAGAAAAATATAAAAAAACTACTGCTTGTACTATGTATCATTACAAACTCACCAACATTTGCAGATTCAGATGCAGATGCAGTTTCAGAATCTGAGGTAATGATACGTCCTAATATGCCTGGGTAAGCGACAATCTGATCATTGACTTTTACTGTTTCAGGCATTTTTATCAGTATAACCTTCTCAATATCTGAAAAAAAAAGTCCAGTCATGAATACTATTGTTAATTAAAATCATCCTCTGGAAAATCTAAAAGTAAAAATCCTCTAAGAGCTGAGCACTGCTAGATACTCATGAGACTGAGATCTCAGGATTGTAGTTCAAAGCCAGCCTAGGTATGACAGTCTAAGAGACTTATCTCTAACCACCAAAGAGCTAGAAATGGAGCTGTCACTCCAGGGGTAGAGTGCCAGCCTTGAGCAAAAAAGATAGGGGACAACACCTAGGCCCTGAGTTCAAGTCTTAGTACCAGCATTAAAACAGAAAAAAGACAGTCAGAAAAGAGCATTTCAAATACCAGGTTAGCCTTGGCAAAGTCAGAGAAGTAGTATAAACTTGGTTGGGTTTTTGTGGTACTGAAGTTTGAACTAAGGGCTTTGCATATTCACTTGGTTTGCGTGCTTGGCTTGCATCCTACCAGGTGAGGCAATATACCACCCTTGTGTTTTGATGTTTTTACTTCTTTTTTGAAGTCTCATACTTTTCTGACCAGGCTTCCTTCAAATTGCATTTTTGAAGAGCTCAATATATTGAGTAGATATATTTGTGAGTACTGATATATTTGTGAGCAAACGGAGACGAGCTAGGGAGAAACTACCTTGAAAACAAAGTAGGCAAGCTGGCTTAAGTAATAAAAACTATGTTACAAGTGGAAGACCCTAGGTTCAATCCTCAGTCTGCAAAAAAAATGCAAAACAGAAATATTTATTAATAAAAGCAAAATTTGTACAAGTCTTCTGAGAAATATGACTGATATCCATAATATATAATTCCCATTATAAAACATTTGGTGGGGGGCTGGGAAGGTGGCTCAGTGGTAGAGTGCTTGCCTCGCATGCATGAGGCCCTGGGTGTGATTCCTCAGCACCACATAAACAGAAAAAGCCAAAAGTGAGCACTGTGGCTCAAATGGTGGAGTGCTAGCCTTGAGCTGAAGAGCTGAGAGGGACAGCGCCCAAGCCCAGAGTTTAAGCCCCACAACTGACAAAAGCAAAGAAACAATTTTTTGTATGGGCACTGGGACTTGAACTTAGAACATTAGCATTCCTTAGCTTTTTTGCTCTACCAATTGAGACACAGTCCCACTTTCAGCTTTATGGTGATTAACTGGACATGAAAGTCTCAGGGACTTTCCTGACCAGAATGGCTTCAGATCAAGATCCTGAGATCTCAGCCTCCTGAATAGCTAGGATTACAAATGTGAATCACCAGCACCTGGCGGCAAACACTCAAGTTAGCAAAATTATAGAGAGCGATTTTTTCCCAGACAGAAAGGAAGGAAAGTATACAGTGATGTGAAATAGGGGGTATGGTGAAAAAGGCAAGGTAAGGCCACTGGTGCTAAGGGATTAGGCTTATTATTCTGACTGGTGATAGAAATCAAAACTACTCATGTAATAAATCTGCATAGAAACAAATATAAATACACACAATTACTACAAGCTAAATTGAGACTTCTCAATAACATCTATATTTAATTTCAATGTACTGATTGTGTTATCTTAGTTTTGAAAGATTAGTTATTGTTGGGAGAAAAAGAGCAAATCTATAAACAGGTTCATGCTTTATTATTTCTTATGCATCCATGTGAATCTAAAATTATTGTTAAAATTGTTTCTGTTGTTAGAAATATGAAATTTAATTTTAAAAAATGGAATAGATCTGGCTATACTGAGTATTTGGGATGCAAACAGATCCAGATCCTATAGTGTATTTGCAATGTGTACCATCTAAACCTTACCAGAATCAGGTGGAAGACTGTCAGGTGAAAACAAAGAGAATGAATGGTCATTGTAATTCACAACTGCAGGGAAATTTATCAACTCAGGGTTGCTTTCCAGGCTGTCTTCTTCTACTATCAGTATTGGCGCTTCTGTTAAAAAAAAATTCAAAACTCTTAACCTCTATTAATTTATACATAGCAAAATCATCCTGAAATAATGTATAGGAAAAAAACCATTTCTAACTTGAAAAAAAAATAAAAGTACTTCTCTCTTCATAGACTTATGCTTAAAGAAAGGGTAAAGGAACACTTTCACACAAGAAGCTTGTAAACAGAATTCAATTTTAAGTAGCAGGGAGAAAGAAGGAACAATGAAAGAAAAACAGTACAAATGTAAAGATGGTGCCCAAACAATAGGGAATCATCCTAGCCCTCTACAACCAGAGAGTTGGGGGTCCCTACATGCAGATTCCCCCAAGAGATCGACAACAAAGAAAAATTGCACAGAGAATCACAGGAACTGAAAAAGAAAAAAAACTCATAAACTGCACACACAAAGATGTAAAAATCATGAAGACTACTCCTCTACCCCTTGCTGGACCCCGGGCTTCCGGGGGCTTCAGGACCACCAGCAGACTGCAGAACAGAGATGCAGAATACTACAACAGCACAGGACCTGGAAAGGACAGGACCTAGACAGCGCAGGACCAGGACAGCGCAGACAGACTGAGACCAGAGGTGAGACACCATGACACCCAGACCTTGAGAGCTCCCAAAGCACTGCCAGACAGCCCACAACCAGTCCCAGGGTAAGTATCATGCTGGGGGTCCCCCCATGGGAGAACAGGGTTAGCTGTGACTCACAGAGCTTGACCTGGACCATTCCCTCTCCCTCACAAGAAGGAACACCACACTTTAAGGGGACGAACTGGCCAGAGCCCTTCCCCATCCCACCTGCTGGCTTCAGTGGAAGGCCACAGGATTCATACTTGACAGATGCTAAGACCATGTGTCTCATACAGTACTGGCTATCGGGAGAGTTTGCACTGGCAGCAGCCAGTGGGAGGAACATTCCTTGCCCGCCAAAACCTGCTAAGCGGGTGCTCCTTCATGTCAGCCCCTGTCGTAAAGCATGATTCATGGGAATGTGCTTACTACTGACAGCACACCCCTGTCGAGAGGCACTGGCCCCTGGAGGGATCGGATTAAAAAAACCTGCCCCATCTAGAATTGCAAACTGTGTGAGTGTGCCGACAGTGCAACAGTGCGCAGAGCACACATGCACGTAAGATGAGGCAGACCAAGCTGTAGACCAAGTGCCGACCAGTGGTGGAGAGGGAAAGACAGTCTAGGGCCAAGGCACAAAAATACCCAGTGCACCTGATCCCTTCTGAAGCCAATGCCTACCCTGGAAACCAGAATCTTACCTGCTCAGTCCCAGCTGCAGAGCAGACAAAGTTCTGGTCAGCCAGCACAAGGCTGAGTGGCCACACAGATACCAGGTGGCCTGGGAAGCCAGCTCCCATCGGCGAACCAGTGAGAACAAACCCAGAGCCAATGAAGGCTGCCACCCACCAGGCAGAAATCAGGACAGGGCCCTGATAATTCCTGACTCCCAAATGCATAAATCACAATGAAAGATTACAAGATTCATGAACAGTTAAGACAGAAAACCAATTCCAAAAGCCAGCAGCAGGAAGTGGTACTGTGGCTCGAGGGGTAGAGCACTCGACTTGAGCTGAAGAGCTCATAGACAGTGTGTAGGCCCAGAGGTCAAGCCCTACAACCGACCAAAAAAAAGCCAGCAGCAATCCAGGAAAGAACTCCAGGGACATCAAAGAATAAATGGAGGAGAAAAGAACAATTAAAGATATGATGACAGAATTTTCCAAAGAAATAAATGGAGAGTTCTAAAAGCAATTTCAAGAGCAGAGACAAGATTTCACAAAAGAATTCCATGAGTTCAAAAAAGAAACGCAGACACGCATACCTCATCAAAAGATGAAATTAACACTTTGAGAACCAATATAGGAACCATAATTAGTTCAATTTCCACAATACAAATCACAATAGAAGCCCTAGGAACAGAGTAAATGAGATGGAAAATAGAATATCATCAGATAAAGATAAAACAGAGGAGATGGAGAAGAAAGTCACATATAATGGAAAAAACACTCAGAATTTACCAAAGTTAAGTCCAAGAACTGGCATTATTCGCCATAACTAAGATATAGAACCAACCCAGATACTCGTCAATAGATGGATCAAGAAATGTGGAATATATACACAATGGAATTCTATGCCTCCATCAGAAAGAATGACAGTGCCCCATTTGTTAGGAAATGGAAAGACTTGGAAAAATTATATTAAGTAAGCCAGGCCCAAAGAAACATAGGTCCCATAGTTTCCCTTATCTGCAATAACTAGTGTATGTCTAGGACAAGCAGAAAAGGTCAAAAGCTATGTACATATGACCATATAAGATGATGCTAAGCGAAATGAACCCCAAGATGGGGAAACAAGAAGTTTTATCTTTGTTGCTGTTGTTTTTAATGTACTATGTGATTTTTTTTTGTTTCTTTATTCCTGGAAGTAAAATCTAGGAAAAAATTAACAAGATGTCCTTCAATAAAGTAAAAGGGCAAAAACTGGGAGTATATTCAAACAATGAGATAGTTTAACTATTAATACACAACAATCTAGATGACTCCAAAAAATTAAACTGAGTGAAAAATAAAGCCAAACTATATCAATCTACTTACATAAGTCTTAAGAAACAAAAGATAGATCTAGGTATTAGTGATGGGTTATAGAGATAGGGATGATTAGAGTGTTGGCTATAGTTATCAAAGAACAATGGGGGAAATGACAGAAATAATCTCTCCCCTGACTGTGGTGGTAGACACATAAATCATCTCATAAAATTCCATACTGTGAGATGCACATATAACTGAACAAAAGCAAAACTGGGCACATACCAATAATATCTATGGATTGTCTCCATGTCATATGATATTTTACCATTTTTGAAAAATGATACTTTTAGGGGAAACAAATTAAAGGATACTCAAGGGCTCTCTGTACCATTTCTTCCATCAAACTGTGATTCCAAGATGAAAGGATTAATTTTTAAGATATTGTCACTAAGAACTAATATTAAGACAGCTGGCTAGGCATAATAGTTTACAACTATAATCTCAACTACTTGGTTGGTTTGAAACCAGCCTACTCAACATAGTAATAGGAAACAAGACCAACTTCAAAGAAGAATATGAGTATGGTGATGACATTTGAAATCCAAGCTAAATAAGTAAGTGAGAAACTTTGTTTTGAGGTCAGCCCAGACAAAGAGCATGAGATGCTAAAAAATTACTAAAGTATAAACAAGAGAAGATGTGAGTCAAGTGGTTAAGGACTTGCCTAGCAAGCATGAAGCCCTGAGTTAAAGCTTCAGTACAACAACAAAAAAAAACAAAAACAGTAAGTGTTGAAGAAATTTGTATTTTCAAAACCCTGCTACTTGTGCTATGTATCATTTCAAACTCACCAATATCTGAAGAGGCAGATGCAGTTTCAGAATATGTAACAGCTTTATGTCCTAAAAAAGTTGGGTAATAGACTGTTTGACCATCGACTTGTATTTCTCCTGGCATTCCTAATACAACTTCTTCAAAACCTAAAAGGAAATGAAACCCTGTTATGACACTTTAAACTTTTAGGTGTCTTTAATCAACTATATGAAGAGTATCTTCAAGCACAAAAGATATAATGAAAGGATATTTGAGAGGAAAAAGAAAAAAAGAAAGACTATTTGGAGAATAAGAAGTGCCCAGCACCAGTATCTCACACATGAAATCCTAGCTACTCAGTAGGAAAAGATCTGACTATTGCAGCTTAAGGCAGTCTAATCTCCAATTAAGCAGAAAGAGACAGACAGACAGACAGACACAGAGAGACAGACACAGAGAGAGGGGGAGGGAAAGGGAGAGGGAGAGGGAGAGAGAACAAAAACTAGAAGTGAAAATGTGGCTCAAGTAGGAGAGAGTACCAGCCTTGAGTGAAAAAGCCAAGTGAGAGTATGAGGCTCTGAGTTCAAACCCCAGTACCAGCACAAAAATTTACGTATAGACAAAAAAATGGTTAGAGGACAAGTTTTAAACAATAAAGATATTACAAATGAACAATTCTTAGTGTGTCAAGAAGAAAAAAATACAGTAGAAATATAAATGTGTAGGAACTAGATCATACCTACACTGCTACTGACGGCACGAAAAGTTACAGCCTCTCTGAAAAATTGTTTGGGAGCTTCTTAGAAAACAGAACATGCTTTCACTGTATTTGATATTGGTATAATTTGTGGAGGGGAAGGGAAAAAACAAACTGTTTAACTAGGGATACAGGTGGACCCATTGCAACAATGAGATGTACAAGTCGTTATGTCAAAAAATGAACTTTACAACTTTGGTGGGGGGGGTGGAGGATCGGGTGGGGGGAGGGGGGAAGTATGGGAAGAGATGAGAAGGGGAAACAAAGAGAAAGAAACAATGCTTGATAAGAAATGTACTCCTTATCTTGCCCATGTAATTGTAACTCCTCTATAAGGTATTCTCACAATAAAAAGACAAAAAAAGAACATGCTATTAAATAAGGCTCACTAATTGCATTCTTTGCACTTATGACAAAGAAATTACATTTATTGACACAATAGCCAGTGTATGAATATTCATAACCAACTTATCTGCAATATACAAAAAAAATAGAAAGAAAAAATGTGAGAGAGAGAGAGAGAGAGAGAGAGAGAGAGAGAGAGAGAGTGTGTGTGTGTGTACAGGTCCTGAGGCTTGAACTCACAGCCTGGGTGGGTGCAGTCCCTGAGATTTTTGGCTGAAGGCTACAACTCTACCACTTAAGCCATAGCTTCAATTTCAGCTTTTTGGTAACTGATTGGAGATAAGATTCTCACGGACGTTACTGCACAGGCTGGCCTCAAACTGCAATTCTCAAACCTCAACCTCCTGAGTAGTTCGGATTACAGGCATAAGTCACCAGCATCAGGTGAGTGAATGGGGTTTGTTTTAAACCAATTCTTATGTATGCCATGTAAAACTATTCCTCAACAAAGGAAGAACGAAAACTACATTTACATAAACATGGGTACAGGAATATTTATCAGGGTCCTGTTAACAAAATCTAGAAGAAAAACAAAGCTGTCCTTCAAGAGGTAACAGTTTAAAAATATGAAATATATTCAAACCATGAGATAGTATTCAGCAATAGCAAACTTAAGTGTGTTGCTCAAGAGGTAAGAGACTTGCTTATCAAGCATAAGGCCCTGAGTTTAAACCTCAATATCACCAAAAACAAAAATGAATGTTAATGAATCTTTATTTAAAAACAGCTATTAAAAACAGCTATACTATACGTCATTTCAAACTTACCAAATTTGAAGATACAGAGGAAGATGAAGTTTCAGAATTTGGTGCACTGAAATGTCCAAATAAAGCTGGGCAATAAACTATGAATTCTTTTTGTCCTGGTATTCCTAACAGTATAAGATCTTCAAAGCCTAAAGACACTGATGCTCCCTTATGATATTCTTTAAACTTTTGGCTATATTTAATGAAGCACGTAAAGAATATCTTCAAGCAGAAAATATGGTGAGAAGAAATTTAAAGCATCAATAAGGAAAGAAGAAAAATGAAAAACCAGAAATATGGCTGTGAAAACTAGATGCTCCATACATTGCCAATGGGAATATAAAATGCTACCATTTCTCCGAAAAATTGTTTCACGGTTTCTTAGGAAAGTAAACTGATCACCATAATACTAGCAATTGCACTATTGGCATTCATTATAGTGAAAAATTAGTTACAAATAATAGTAAAACTTTAGAGTTACAGAAGTCAGTATATGAATATGATAGTGCTTTACTTCTAATTCCTGGGGGTCTAAAATCTATATGATAATCAATGTATGAGTAGATTAAAATAACTAGTCAGCATCCAATCAAAGGAAAACAATTCAACAATGAAGAGCAAACAACTGAGACTTTAGAGCACACAAGTAATCCCAGTTCCTCAGGAGATAAGGTTAAATGGATTTTGAGTCTGCAGCCAGCCTATGTAAAATTAGGCAGGTCCTATTTTGAAAAAAAACTGCAAAGAGAAGGCCTGGGGTACTGGCTCAAATGACAGAATATAAGCTGCTAGGGGACACCCTGGATTCAAACACCAGTATTTCAAAAAGGAAAAGTAAAAAATGGAAAAAGGAACAAAAAGGCAGAAACTTATTGGTACAAAAAAATTTTATCTGTCTTCAGGGAATTATAGTGTTGGAACACAAAACATCCATAATGTATGCTTCCCTGTAGAAAATACTCTTCAACTGGCAACTTTACAGAGAACAATATTGTCCAGGCATTAGGGAACTGGTATAAGTGAAGGAAAGGATGGGGTAACATGAGAGAGGGGGTATGGTCAAAAAGCAAGATGAGGTAGCTGATGGTGAGGGATTGTCTCTGTGTTTAACTGATGCTAGAATCAAAACAACTCATTCAATAAATTATAGTAGAGGTGCTAGTGGCTCACACCTGTAATCCTGGCTACTCAAGAGGCCAAGATCTAAGAATCGTGGTTCAAAGCCAGCCTGGCCAGGAAAGTCTGTGAGACTCTTATCTCTAATTAACCACCAGAAAATCAGAAATGGTGCTGTGGCTCAAATTGGTAGAACATTAGCTTTGAGCAAAGGAGCTCAGGGACAGTGCCCAAGCCCCAAGTTCAAGCTCCAATAACTAAGTAAATAAATAAATATTATATAAAAATTAGATATTATAATATATCTCAATAAAATTTGTATTTGGATTGATGTCGATATCCTGGTTGTATTGCTTTACCTGTTTTGATGTATGCTACTGTTGGCAGAGCAAAGCAGACTACAAACAGAATCATAACATATTTCCTGTGTAAGAAATATTTATGTGAACCTCACTTTACTAAAATTACTGCTGTTAAAGAAGCTTGATTTAAAAATAAACTATAGCTAGCTTGCATTGAGGGCTTGAGATATTGATAGATCAAGATTCTGTATTGCAGTTTGTTATGTGTATCAACAGACACTCACCAGAATTGAAGACAAGAGTGTCAGCTGAGTAAGAGTATTGGCCATGGTCATTTCTCATCACTGGTGGGATATGCATCACCTCAGGACTGATTACCAGGCTGGCTCCCACAGCAGTCAGATCTTCTATAAGAAAATAGTTTCAAAACTCTCAACCTTTATTAATTTATACAGAGCAAAACTACACTGAAATAATATAGAGGAATAAAACAATTTTTCACATGAGAAAAACTAAATTACTTTACTCTCATAAATTTATCCTTAAAGGACAAAGAAAATTCTTCACACAGCAAGAATGTTAAATAATAGAATTTGAAGTAGCAGGGTAAAAGAAGGAAAAATGAAAGTGTATACATCACTATTACCCTTACCTATTGCTAGGGAGCTATTAAAATGGCATCCCACCAGGGGAAAACAATCATATATTGAGTATATGGAATGCAATCCAAAATCCTAAATGGAGGGATCATGGGTATAAGCAGCAATAGGGAAGTATTTTCAGAAAAGTATGCTGCATGAGAAACCAATGCCTCTACATTAAAAATTTGATTATCTTGACATTTTTTTTGCTATTTTTTTGAGGCAGAATTTCACCATATAGCCTAGGAAGGCCTGAAATTCAGGACTGTCAGCCTCTCCATTTCTAGGATTACAGACATGCATCACCAACTTCTCTTAACATTCTTGAAATGACAACTACAAACAGAAAGAAGAGTAATTGGTAGGTATTAGCAAAGAGAGGACATAAAGAAAGGGTGACAAGAGAAATGGCACTGTGATTGTACAAGAATAAAATGAACTATTCTTGCACTGACGGAACTAGTCCTTCACTTTCATAGGGGACCATCAAACCTGTGCATTTACTCACATGTGGTGGCACTAGCCAGTGATCTTTGCACTCAGGTGGCAGAAACCAAAGTAATCATAGGTTTAAGTACAACTTAGACTACAAGAAATATTCCAGGCCAATTTGGCCCACATAATGACACCTGGTCTCAAAAAAAAATCAAGGTGGGGGTGGGGGGAGGATCAGGTGGGAGGAGGGGAGGAGTATGGGAAGGGATGGGAAGGGGAAACAAAAGAGGAGGCAACAATGCTTGATAAGAAATGTACTCGTTATCTTGCCCATGTAATTGTAACTCCTCTGTACGGTATTCTCACAATAAAAAAATTAAATAATTTATGAAAATTGAGCCCTAACTGAAGCTATGAAGGAGTATTATAAATTAAAATGAGCCATGTCTTTTCTAAGTTAAAAAAAAAATCAAGGTGAAGTTTGTTAACTCACTCGTATAGTACTTGTCTAGTCTAGCATGAACAAGGACTTGGGTTATAGCCCCAGTTCTGAATAGGATATAGCTGCTCATGTAATAAAATAATGTAGAACTAAATGCATACTCATCAATAAAAGTAGAACTGGAAACATCTAAGTAAGTATCCTCTAAGCATTGAACCGTACACTGTGGTTCACACTTGTAATCATCACTGCTTGGGAAGTTAAGACTGAGAGGATGATAGTAATAGGCCAGCCCAGAATCTGAGTGACCTAAGAGTTGTTCATTGTAATCAAGGGACAATGGAAAGTGTGGTTCAAATGGTAGAGTGTTAGCTTTGAGCAACATAGCTCAGGGACAACATCCAGGCCCTGAATTCAAGCCCTAGTACAAACAAAAAGAAGTAGCAGCAGCAGTAACAATAGTAGTAGTAATACTCAACAAAGACAAATTAATGAGCAAGACCCAAACCAAAAAGAAAATGAAGTTGGGCATTCGATAAAATGTACAATCACAACCACATGGGAGAAGTAAGGAATGTTGGTTTTGAGGTAAGTGCAAGCAAAATGCATGAGACCTTATCTGAAAAAGCAAGTAAAAGGACTTAAGATGTAACATTAGGTACAAAGGACTTACTTACCTACCAAGAGGCCCAAACCCATAAAAACTAAAATATTTTAACTTTAAAATCCAGAATTTAAAATGTCTTCTATATTATATATCATTTCAAACTCACGGAAATTTGTAGATTCAGAATTAGAAACATTTTCAGAATCAGATTCACTAAAATGTCCCAAAACACCTGGGTAATCGATTACTTGGCCACTGATTTCTGCATCCTCTGATATTTCTATCACTATAGTATCTTCAGTATCTGAAAGGAAACAATGATCTATTATAATATATTTAAACTTGTGTCATTAATTAGCCAGAAAAAGACTATCTTCACATAAAACTACCCTATGATCCAGCCATACCACTCATGGACATCTGCCCAGAACATAACAAGCCAAGAGAGCATATAGACACTTTCACATCCATGCACATTCATGCTGCACTATTCACAAAAGCCAAGACATGGAAACAGTCTAGATCCCTACAATAGATGAGTGGATCAAGAAAATGTGCTACTGGGCTGGGAAGATGGGTCAGTGGTAGAGTGCTTGCCTTGCATGCATGAGGCCCTGGGTTTGATTCCTCAGTACCACATATGCTGAAAAAGCCCGAAGTGGTGCTGTGGCTCAAGTGGTAGAGCACTAGCCTTGAGCTGAAGAGCTGAGGGATAGTACAAAGGCCCCACAACTGACAAGGAAGGAAGGAAGGGGGAAGGAGGGAGGGAGGGAGGAAGGAAAGAAAGAAAATGTGCTACATATACACAATGGAATTTCTCTCATCCATCAGAAAGAATATTACAACATTTGCAGGGAAATGGAGGGACCTAGAACAAATCATGTTAAGTGAGTTGAACCAAGCTCAAAAAGACAAAAACCACATGTTCCCTCTGGAAACTAGATCTAATATACAACTATACATGATAACTAACTCAGACCCCTATGTATTTACATAAAAACTGACTAAAAGAGGGTATACATAGGGGATGAATCCAAAGGTATAACTTCTCTAATCATCTAAATAACTATTTGGTTTAAAAATATTCTAAGAGATGGAAACGTTTTTGTTGTGTAATATTTTTCTTTTTGGGACACTGGGAACCGGGATAGGAATGGAGGGAAGAAGGGTGAACAAATTTACTCATTGTGTTCAATTAACACTATGTAAAAAATTAACTATATAAGTTGGGGGTTATAAGAGAGGGAAAATGGGGGAGAATGAAGGAAGGGGTGACACTAACCAAAAAGCATGGTACGCATAACATGACTTACTAAACTGTAACCCCTTTGTATAACTCCTTAAAAGTAACAATTGGGCCAGGTGTTGGTGCTCACGCCTATAATCCTAGCTACTCAGGAGGCTGAGATCTGAGGATCATGGGCTGAAGCCAGCCCCAGCAGGAAATGCCATGACTCTTAATCCAATAAACTACTCAAAAAAGCCAGAAATAGAGCTGTGGCTCAAGTGGTAGACTGCTCACCTTGGGCAAAAGAAGCTTAGGGACAGTGGCCAGGCCCAGAGCTCAAGCCTCAGGACCGACAAAAACAATAACAACAACAATAACAACAGCAGGGGTTGGGGATTTAGCACAGTGGAAGAACACTTGCCTGGCAAGTGCAAGGTCCTGAGTTCAGTCCTCAGCTCTGCCAAAAAATGAACTAAAAAAAATCTTTATTAACTAAAGGGATGCATTCCAGCCAGAAAAGTACATCTTCAAACAGTAACAAAAAGATATAGTTGAAAGGAATATGAATAATTATTAAGGAAAAACAATAGAAGTATCATAAATATAAATGTGAAAAGTAGATCCTCCATACGTTACTAATGAGAATATAAAAAGCTGCAGCCACCCTGGACAATGTTGCAGATTCTTTTTTTTTTAATTGTGAAAATACCATATCGAGGAGTCACAATTACATGGACAAAATAATGAGTACATTTCTTATCAAGCATTGTTATGTTGCAGATTCTTAAAAAGGTAACCATGCTATTACCATAAAAACCCAGAAATTGCACTATTTGAATTCAAGATAGAAAACTGACAACTTACATTTACACAAAAGTCAGTACATGAACGTGGTAGTACTTTACTCCTAATTCCAAAACTAGGGATACCAAAATTTCCAACATAGTGTCTTCTGAGCATCCCTGTAGCATTGGTTCCTCGTTTGTCCTTTGTCTCACCATTTTGTTGTTACCCTTCCCTTCCCCAAATCAGGTAAATGTATACAAAACACAGGGTACCAAAATCAAAAGCAGTGACAACAGGGGATAAACCAAAGGGGAAAAATGAAAGAAAAAGAAATAACTTCATACTGTACATTAAAAACCACAACAACGAAGAAAAACCTCTTGTTTCCATAATTTGGAGTTCTTTTTTATTAGTATCATCTTATATGGTCATATGTACATCAAGAAAATGTGGTATATATAATCAGTGGAATTCTATGCTTCCATCAGAAAAAATGACATGTAAACTCTTAGCTACTCTTGACTACTCAGGAGGAGATCTGAGGACTGACAGCAGGGGAAGTCAGTCTCTTATCTCCAATTAACCAGCAAAAAAGATGGAAATGAAGCAGTAGAGAACTAGCCTTGAGCAGCACTTGGACCTGAGTTCAAACACCAGGACTGGAACCAAAAATTAAAAAGTACAATAAAAATAAATTTGCTATCACTATAAGACCTGGAAACTGCACTATTCACAGTGTATACTTGTATCTATGTCAATCTCCCGACTGGGTGGTTTTACCTTAGTTTAGAAAGATGTTATTGTTGAAAAAACAGAACAAAATATAAGTAGGATCGTGACATATTGTTTCTTACATATCCATGCCAATTTAAAATTATTACAAGTATTGGGCTGGGAAGGTGGCTCAGTGGTAGAGCGCTTGCCTTGCATGCTCGAGGCCCTGGGTTCGATTCCTCAGCACCACATAAGTAAAAAGAAAAAAGCCGGAAGTGGTGCTGTGGCTCAGGTGGTAGAGCGCTAGCCTTGAGCTGAAGAGCTGAGGGACAGTGCCCAGGCCCAGAGTTCAGGCCCCACGACCGGACCCAAAAAAAAAATTGAAAAAAAATTATTACAAGTATTGTTATAAAAATATGAAGTTTAATATTAAAATGAACTACAGCTGACTTGCATTAAAGATTTGGGGTGCTGACATATGAGATTGCTATAGTGCTATTTGTTATGTGTATCATCTGAAACTCACCAGAATCAGATGGAAGAGTGTCAATGTCATTTTCTATCACAGGTGGGAAATTCATCCCCTCAGGATTGTAGTCCAAGCTGGCTTCTGCTATTCCTTGCACACCTACAAGAAAAATATATTCTAAAACTCTTAACTTCTATGAATTTACACATATCACACGTACCCTACAATAATATACATGAAGTAAACACTTCTTTTTTTTTTTTTTTTGGTCAGTCGTGGAGCTTGAACTCTGGGCCTGGACACTGTTCCTCAGCACTTCAAGTCAAGGCTAGTGCTCTACCACTTGAGCCACAGTGCCACTTCTAGTTTTATGGTGGTTAATTGGAAATAAGAGTCTCACAGATTTCCCTGCCTAGACTGACTTTGAACTGCAATCCTCGGATCTCAGCCTCCTGAGTAGCTAGGATCACAAGCGTGAGCCACCAATGCCTGACAATAAAGACTTTCTCACAGGAGCAAAAGTAAATTATTTCTAGCATCACAGATTTAAGTAAGGGCAAAGGGAAATCTTCATATAGGAAGCATGTGAAAGAAAACAACTTCAAGCAGCAGCAAGAAAGAGGGAACAATGAAGTAACACATATAGAGAAAATGCATCACATGTATTACTAAGGTAACAGTAAAACTATAACCCACTAGGGAAAAAAATCTTAGTTTATATGGAATTTATGCAATACAATCTATAAATCTAAAAGGACAAACCATGTGTAACAAGCAGAAACCTCGGTATGAATTCAGAACATTATTCTGAGTAAAAATGCCAATCTCTACAGATTATATATTCAGGGTTTTCCTTAATAATCCTTCAGGATTTGTTCCTGTTGTTTTTGTTATTTTGAGGCAGAATCTCACTATATTTTCCAGGATGGCATTAAACTCACAGTTCTGAGCCTCCGTAGTGCTGAGAAAACAAGCATTAACTACTATACCCAACTTCTCTTAACATTCTTGAAGTATCAAAATTATACACGGAAGAGATCAATAATTACTATGTATCAGTATATGGGAGGATGGAAGGAAGGGATGATACCCAGAGAAGCGACTGGAATTATAAAAGGGCAAGATGAGGCATTCTTACAGTGATGAAAATGGTCTGTATCTTGATTGCAATGGGAGGACACATAAAACCTATATAACCAAATAAAAGCAAAACCTCAGGACATCTCAATTTGGCTCCATGTTAAAATCCTAACTGTGACATTTTTGTGCCATTAGTTCCTGAGGCTTGAACTAAGCTTCTGAGTGCACTCTGAACTGTTTTTTTTATTTTTTCTCAAGGCTAGCGTGCTACCACTTGAGCCATAGCTCCTCTTCTGTCTTTTTATGTTTAATTGGAGATAAAAGTTTCACAAACTTCCCTGCCTGTCCTGGTTTTGAATTGTAATCCTCAGATCTCACCCTCCTGAGTAGCTAAAATTACAGGCATGACCTACCAACATCTGTCAAAAAATATTATTTTTGAACTAAACTAGTTAAAGAATACTCAAGCACTCACTGTATCATTTCTTAAAACTTCATGTGGTTTTAAAATACCTCAAAATGAAAAGTTTAATTCTCAAATAGTTCTAAGAATCAGTATTAAACATGTTGATCAGTATCTTGGCTATGATAATGCAGCATAGATAGCCAAGATATAGAATCAGCCCAGATGCCCCTTAGTAAACAAATGATTTATGGAAATGTGGTATATGCACCATGGAATTCTATTCATCCATTAGAAAAATTATACCATTCATAGGGAAATGGAAAGACTTAGAAAAAATATATTAAATGAAGTAAGCTAGACCCAGAAAAACATAGGTTGCATGGTTTCCCTCACTGTGGTAGCTAGAATGTACCTATAAATCTACAAGTAAAACATACTGTGGTACACAAGGGGTTGCAAATGAATTAACTGAAATGTAATAGACTATGGAGAGCTCAAATAGTAAATTCTTTTTTTGCAGGTTGGTAGCAGTATTTATTTTACTTTTAAATTTTACTGAAAGACTAAATCAAAGCTCAACAATGTACCAGGAAATGGGTACTTGCAAGAGGGAAGGGGGAGAGGGGTAGAAAATGAAATGGGGAAGGAGAAGAATACAGGTAAGAATTTATTATATGTACTACAGAATTGAGAAACAGCTCACACCTGCAATCCTTTTTTTTGGGTGGTGGGCCTGAACTTTGGGCCTGGGTGCTGTTCCTCGGCTCTTCAGCTCAAGGCTAGCGCTCTACCACTTGAGCCACAGCACCACTTCTGGCTTTTTTTCTTTTTGCTTATGTGGTGCTAAGGAATTGAACCCAGGGCCTCATGTATGCAAGGCAAACGCTCTACCACTGAGCCACCTTCCCAGCCCCATACCTGTAATCCTATCTACTCAGAGGGCAGAGATCTGAGGATCCAGTATGAAGCCAGCTCAAGCAGGAAAGTCGATGAGACTTTTATCTCCAATAAACTACTCAGAAAAAGCCAGAAATGGTGTTGTGGCTCAAGCAATAGAGCACTAGCCTTGAACACCGAGAGGCTCAGGGACGGTGCCCAGGCCCTGAATTCAAGCCCCAGGACCGGCAAAAAAAAAAAAGTTTTTTAAAAAAATCCACTATACACATAAACTTTGTTAAATAGCAAAACTTCAATACATACCTAAAATTAAGATAAAGGAAGGGGTGATTTGGAAGGGCGGGGTTGAGAATGTTGAAAGGGTGACACTGATCAAGATGCACTATATTCATAAACTCCTTTGTTGAATGGCAATGCCTTTGCACAACTACTTAAAAGATAATATTTTTGAAAAATGATCAGGCCAGGCCTATAATCCTAGGCACTCAGGATGCTGAGATCTGAGGATCATGGAAAGTCCGTGAGACTCTCATCTCCAATTAACCACCAATTAACCACCAGAAAACCGGAAGTAGCGCGATGGCTCAAGTGGTAGAGCTAGCCTTGACCTGAAGAGCTCTGGGACAGGGCCCAGCCCCAAAATTCAAGCCCCAAGACCAGAAAAAAAAAGATCAGGCTGTGTGGCTCACAACTGTCATCCCAGTTATTTTGAAGATATAGATAGATTATAGTTTAATGCCAGCCTGGAAAAATAAGTAAGAAAGACTCAGCTAAAAAGAAAAAGCTAGGCATGGTAATGACTTCTAAGCACAGATGGTTGAAAGAAGTACATGAAGAATGTGGTTTTGAGGTTTGCTCAAACAAAAGCTGCAAAACTTTATCTGAAAAAAATACTAAAGTAAATTTGGTTAAAGGTGTGTCCCAAGTGGTAAAGAGCTTGTCTAGTAAGCTTGAGGCACTGAGTTCAAGCCCCAATATGGCAAAAACAGAAAAAGACATGTTAAGAATCTAGATTAAAACCTGCTAAAGATACCATGTGTCACTTCAAACTCACCAGAATGTAAAGCTGCAGAGGCAGGTGCCATTTCAGAATCTGGGCCATTGAAATGTAAAGCTGGGTAATAGAGTGTCTGGCCATTGACATCAGTTTGTCCTGGCATTTCTATCAGTATAACCCTTTCAAAGTCTGAAAGAAAATACCTTGTTATGAACCTTGCATGAAGAAAAACTATCCTCGTAAAAACAGTAAAACAAAAGCATTCTCTAATACAGGAAAAAAATAATCTCCCTACTTAGCAGAACTGCTTAATTTTCAACCAATTTACTAAATAAAGATATACAGATAGGTGAGATTTTTTAATGGCTACAAATATTATTTTATGTCTAGCCAATGGACAAGTTCCATTTTTTGATTTTGTTAATTTATGTAAAAGATAGTTACCTGATTATTTTTTAGTTATTCAGATTGATATAAATATAGGTTAGCCTAGAAAACTTCTCTAGGCTTTCCGAAATGAAAAATATAACAAAACCTTTCAAATAATATCTGTATCCACTATTAATTTAAAAGTACACATATAGCTGGGAATCATTATTGGCTCATGCCTGTAATCCTAGCTACTCAGGAGACTAAATCCTGGAGGATTATAGTTTAAAGCTAACATGGACAGAAAAAAAAACATGTACATGTATTTTATGATTACTTGAAGACCCAAAAGAGCAAATGGAAAGTTTCACAAAATTAAGTTATGTATTTTGGTAATTTATATGCATTCCAAGACATTTTGAAAGCAAAACTGTTTTTTTCATCCACTGCTTACAAGAAATTTGATATTCTATGATTTTGTGAACATAATTTAGATCTGAATTTGTTTGTATTTACCTGGGGGATTACTTCAGAGATGTTTTCATTTGTTTAGTAAAATTCTTATTCCTAATACCCTTTAATATTTTTTCCATCCTTATTCTTGCTTTTCTCTCCTTTTAAGATTCCAACTAATCAGAATGGACTCTATATATGCCCTGTGGTCTTATATCCTCGGTGATTTTTATCTAGCTACACTCCTAGCTTTTGCCTTCACAATGCCTAGAATGTTATCGATATCAAGGAAGGCTCATTGTAGTCCTGAATGGAAACATCAGGTTGAAAAGAGCACAATAACATTTCCTGCTTGGTTAATTCTCTCTTCAGCTATTAGCCTAGTTATTGAATTCTATGGTTTTATTGTACTTTTCAGTTCCTGAGTTTTTATTTTGCTTTATTTCAGCTTCTCTAGGTCACTTCTATAATCTCAGTTTTTGACATAAATTTCAAGGTTTTCTTTATCGCCTTGAATAATAGTCTGTGCTAGATTATTCCAGTATGGGGCAAAGTTATAGGTCTCTTTGTATTGTCTGTTATATTGGCTGGTTCTTAACCATAAAGTCTTATACATTCCCTATTATATATTGTAAATTATATTTGAAAAATTATTTATAACAGTAACTCGATAACAAAGACCATACAAAAAGAATATTCCTCACTATTTAAGATACATAGTTCAGAATCATACTCAGATCATATCTATCCAAATTCAGGAACTGAGATTATTCTAACCAGTCAACAGATACGAAATAGGTCTAAAGTTTCTTACTAGAATCCAACTAAAACCAAGAAGCCATGTTCCCACATTTCCCACCTTCCACTTGGTCCTGAAGTCTTTTAACATCACAAAACTCACTTCAGCTCTCACTTATAAGTGACACGAGGGCAAAAACAGCTCCTGAAAAAGGCTATGTCTCTGGATTGTTATTATCTTCTAGATATAATTATTACCATTTTTATTATTATAATTTATTTTCTATTATATTATTGATTTTTATATTAGAATTTACTTTTTCAAAGTTGACTTCTGTTGGATATTTAAAATTTTTAATCTGATATTATCAAAGCAATAGTCATTGTGTACTGAAAGCTAATTAAAATATATTGTATAAGATAAAATATATTTATGTTAAAAATCATCTGCCTCTAGTATATTCATCTATTTAAATGAATATTTTCAAAGAGAAAAGATATGACAAAAGGAAATTTAGGGCTTCAGAAAAGAAGAAAGAATTATGGAAAGACCAGAAATATATTATACATTGCTACTAGGAATATAAAATTATTCAACCTCTCTAAAAATGTGTTTCTACATGCTTTGGGAGTTGGGCAAAGTGGGCACAATTAACGGAGGAAGGATGAGCAAATGTAGTCATTGCAGCCAACATACATTATATAAAAAACCTGAACTATATAAGTTGAGGATAGGAACAGAAGGGGGAAAATGAAGAATGAAAGGTGTAACATTGGCCAAGAAGCACTGTAGTCATAACATGACTTAGGGAACTGTAAACCCTTTGTATAACTACTTAACGATAATTTAAAAAGTGTTTATATCTCCTTTAAATTAAATATGTTTTCACTATAACATTAATTAATATTAATTAAACATGCTTTTACCCATTGGAGAAATAAAGGATAGAATGACCTGAGAGAAAGTAATATAGTCAAAAACACAAGATGAAACAGCTAGTAGTAAGCAATTATGCTCTATATCATGACTGGTCATGAAAATCTAACCTACTCATGTAATATATCTGCACAGAATAAACATATAAATTACAATGAGTAAAAATTGAGATAGCTCAATAACATCTGTACATGTATCAATGTAAATATGCTGAGTGTGTTATTTGCCTTAATTTTGAAAGATGTTATTAACAGAAGAAATAAAATGTAAAGCCAATCCTACTTTTCTTTCCTTTTTTTCTTTTTTTGTTCCAGTCCTGGGACATGAACTGAGGGCCTGATCACTGTCCATGGGCTTTCTTTTTTTTATGCTCAAAGCTAATGTTCTACCATTTCAGCCACAGCTACACTTGCAGCTTTTCTTTTCTTTTCTTTCCCTTCCTTCCTTCCTTCCTTCCTCCCTTCCTTCCTTTCTTTCTTACTTTCTTTCTCTTTCTTTCTTTTCTTTCTTCCTTCTTTCTTTCTTTCTTTCGGTAGTTGATTGAAAAGTCTCATACTTTCTTGTCTGGGTTATCTTCAAACTACAATCCACAGATATCAAGCCTCCTGAGTATCTATAATTACAAACATGAGCTACCATTGCCAAGGATATGTTATTTCTTTAAAGTACACATTAATCTAAAATAACTGTTAATATACTCTTTTATTAAATATATAAAGTCTGATATAGCATCAGTTGCTCATGTTTGTGATCTTAGCTACTCTGGAGGCTAACACTTCAAAGATAGAGGTTTAATTCCAGTTTGCACAGAAAAATCTGTGAGATTTCATCTTAAGAAATAGTCTATCAGCTCTGCAAGCAAGTCAGGCAATTGCGAACCCCCAACTTCAGTTCCCAGTAACAGCAAGAGAGACAGATAGACAAGCAGACACATATGTATGTAAGAGTTTGAGTGAAAAAAAATGAACTACACATGGCTTGTATTAATGATGTGATGTGGACAGATTTAATTCTATACCATTGTTGCTTCTGTTTTTGTGTGTGTGACAGTATTGGCACTTGAACTGGGCTCTAGGGGATGTTGCTTAGTTTTTTTTGTTGTTGTTCAAGTCTAGCTCTCTACCACTTGTGCCACACTTCGTCCTTGAGCTTTTTGGTTGTTAATTGTAGATAATAATCTACTTTCCTGCTCAGGCTGGCTTTGAACCGCTATCCTCAGATTTTACTCTCCTTAGTAGCTAGAATTATAGGCATCAGCCACCAACATCTGGCTTCCATAGTGCTCTATGTAAGATGTCATCTGAAACTAACCAGATTGAGATGAGAGAGTATCAGCTGAAAAAGAGTCTTGGTCATTTTCATTTACAACGGGGAAATCCATCGGCTCCATGTTGTTTGCCTGGCTGGCTTCTGCTACTGCTGTCATATCTAGAAGAACAAACAGAGTGGCAGGGGTTACCAAAGGACAGTGGTAGGGAAGCTTGTGAGAAGGAAGTGATATCTCTCTGAATGTGGTGGTAGACACATAAATCTATTCATGTAATAAAATGCCACACAATTAGATATACATATAAATGCATACTTAGATTCAAGAAAAATTGAGGACATCCCAATAAACAATATATGGATTATCTGTGTCAAAGTCTTAATTGTAATAATTTTCTGTGTTTTTGAAAAATAGTATTTTTTGAAGTAGAGCTGTTTGCAGCCAAGCACTGGTTGCTCATGCCTGTAATCCTAGCTACACAGGAGGATATGATATAATGTTTGAGGTTTGAAGCCAGTGCAGGCAAGAAGGTTTGTGAGACACTTATCTCTAATTAACTAACAAAAAAGCTGGAAGTGGAGGACTTAAATGGCAGAGTGTTAGCCTTGAGCAAAAAAGCTCAGGGACAGCACCCAGTCCCAGAGTTAAAAACCCAAGACTGGCACGTGTGCACACGCGTGCGCGCGCGCACACACACACACACACACACACACACACACACGAGCTATCTGCATCATTTCTTACAACTTCGCGTGGTTCTAATATACAGTATCTCAAGATGAAAATTTTAACTTTTAAGTTTAAGAAAACTGATCAGGCTGGATAGCTCACATCAGTCATTGCAACCATTTGAGAGGTATAGCCAGAAAAGACCAAAGTTTGATACTAGCTTACACCAAAAAAATTGAGTAAGACCCAGTTAAAAGAACAAGCTACTGTAAAGATACTATACAGGGGGTTACGGTTACATGAGTAAGGTAATTAGTACATTTCTTGTCGAACATTGTTACCCCTCATCTTTACAATAAAATAATTTTTTTAAAAAAAGAACAAGCTAGGAACAGTAATGACACCTATAATCCAAGCTGGATTTGAAAAGTAGGTAAGGAACATAGGTTTTTTTTTTCCTAAGGGTGATAGAAACATGGTTTTGAAGTGTTCTCAAATAAAAAGCATGACATTTCACATGGAAAAAAAAAAACTAAAGAAAAACTGGCTAAAGGTGTGGTCCAATGGCTAAAGGGCCTATCTAGCAAGACTGAGGCCTTGAGTTCAAGCCCCAATACTGCCCAAACAGAAAAATCCTTGTTAAAATGAGAAGTACAAATTGCCATGTCAAAAAGGAGCTTTACAATGTCTGTGGGAGGGGAGCGGGGGGG